TATATATATATATATATATAGCATTTAAACCTTTCATTTATCTATTATGATCAACCGTGGACAACTGAAGTACTGCTGAACTTATATTTTTAAAGAATCGTACGAGTTGTCAGAAGGTAATGTTATATCACATTAAGTACTCGGAATAACACGTCTGGTAGTAAGCGAACAATGGCTTCCGTCTCCGTTTATTGGAGCAGAAAACAAAATTTAGGAACAAAACATTTGTATACAAAGTGGTATTCCCGAATATTTCACGTCAAAGAGTGCATTGTATGCTGTAAGAATTTCCACAGACCTACAGAGAGCTAGCTGAATATTTCGTCTATTCCATTAATCACCTTTTCCTGCAAGGGGGGATGACACTGTGCTCCAGTTCGAAACATTTATTTACATTGAAGACCAATAATTGAGAAGAGTTTTCAGCGAAACGCAATATACACAGTAGAATATTTTAACTATGAAATGGTGGCCAAAAAACATCGTGGTTTTCGACAAATAATTTCCAGGGAAATCCGGTCACTATGTTCAAGCCGCGAGCCAGCAATAGTTCGAAGGTGCATATGTTTGGTTCACATTTAATTCACGACAATCGACCGTGAAATGTCAGAAATGTGGATGAGCTGGCACTGTTTTTTTTACCCCATAATCAAGGAAGACTATGAGTTTTATGTGCGCCAATTGTCAACCGTAAAAACGGCACTATTTTGAAAACTCGGCATGCGATTTCGTCCGTCATCCCCCAATTTGCTTGGCAGATTGACTGAAGTGGATGTCCATTTCAGGTCCTTTTTGTAAAGCTGCACACATGTAACAATGCACATAGGTCAAGTCTTCCCTGTCAGTTATCACTCTTCCACGCCGCTCAACCCCATCTACGAGTCTTCGGATCATTTCGATTATTCGATTTCCGACCGGAGCGTCGCAACTTCGCATGTTTACGAAAGAACACGGATATACACGCTCACAGGTAGGATAAAATATTCTAGTTGCATTCGTGTAGCCGAAAGAGAGACAGTGCAGAAGAAAACCTTCACGAAATGGGCTAATGTATATTTAAGGCGTGCGGGTTTAGCGGTGAACGACCTCTTCATTGACTTGCGAGATGGAAGGCTGCTACTTAAACTTTTGGAGATACTTTCTGGCGACACGCTTGTGAGTTTCTGATTTTCTCAATATTTACCTAATTCAGCCAGCTGCCACCCCTGGAAGGATGAGAATACATTGCTTGGAGAACGTTGACAAATCGCTATTTTTCCTGAGTGGCTTGAATGTACACCTTGAAAACGTTGGTGCGCATGACATTGTTGATGGGAACGCGCGTATTACACTCGGGCTCATCTGGACCATCATCCTTCGTTTCCAGATCCAGGATATAGCAGTTGCTACTGTTGTTGACGGATTGGGGCGACCTATTGTTGATGGGCTGGGACGACCAGTTGGAGAAAGGCGTTATTCAAAGGATGCTCTTTTGTTGTGGTGTCAAATGAAAACCGCTGGATACAGAAATGTTGATGTACAGAATTTCACAACCTCCTGGCGGGATGGACTGGCATTTAATGCCCTTATCCACAGGCACCGCCCAGATTTGGTTCAGTTTGAGAAACTGTCCCCAAGCACTCCACTTCAGAATCTGGAATCTGCATTTTTGGTGGCCGAAAGAAAGCTGGGAATAGCGAGGCTTTTCGATCCGGAAGACATCTATGTGGAGCAGCCGGACGAAAAGTCGATAATCACCTATGTCGCCACCTACTATCACTACTTTTCAAAGCTAAAGTCAGAAGCCGTACGCGCACGTCGAGCTGCCAATTTCGTTGGTTTTCTTCTTCATGCTCAGGATGTTGCTGCTTGGTACGAGAAGAGCACATCTGACCTACTAAAGTGGATTTTCCAAAAAATTTCCTGGCTGGATACGCGTGACTATCCCCCATCCGTCAGTGAGCTCCAGCGACTTTTAATTGAGTTTAAAGAATACAGGTTGCAAGAGAAGATTCAAAAGCTGGAGGAGAAGGGTGATATTGAAATGGATTTATTCATGCTACAAGCAAAAATGCGATCAGTGCAAATGCTTGTTTACAAACCACCGGTTGGTGTGCAAGTTGCTCAAGTAAATCGAGCTTGGAGCATCTTGGAAAAATCAGAGCATGCAAGAGAGCTTTCATTGCGTGAAGAAGTTATGCGACAGGAAAGACTAATGCATTTGTATTTAAGATTCAAACGCAAAGCAGAGCTTCGTGAATCCTGGATTTTTGACAACCAAAAACTACTCGAGCAACCCGACCATGCTGAAGATCTGCTTATGCTCGAAGCGGCTCTAAAAAAACATGAAGCTCTTGAGACAGACGTCTCGGCCTATAGCGACCGAATACAGACAGTGCGACAGATTGCAGATGAATTATTGAGTAACGGTTTTCACGAAGCTGCCGAGGTGACTACAACCCGTGATCGAATTGACTCCTTATGGAATTGCTTCCTTGATGGTATGCGAGAAAGGTTCTTGCGCTTGCAAAATAAATTGAATTTCTTTAAGCGATTCTCCGAATACGATCACTTTAACGCCGTAATAGCCTCCCTTCAGGAGAAGGTCAAAAGTTCCGAGTATGGTGACCATCTGATTGCTGTTATTGATCTGTTGCAGCGTCACGAGTTGATCGAGACTGATATTCGTTCACTCCACCGGAGCCTGGCGCAAGTTTTTAGTTCCACTCAAAACATTTTACAAAACTCTGGTCTTTTGGGCTCAAACGGCGTGGCTTTAGCTGAGGAAGCTCAAAAACAGAATACTTCCATTCGAGATGCTTATATGGAGCTTGTCGCGCAAGCGGAAAAACGACGAAACTTGTTAGAGCTTTCGAAGCTTCGCTGGGAGATGATGTTTGAACTGGACGAGCAAGAGTACTTCATTGAAGAGCGACTTGAATACTTGAAGCATCAAAGCATTAGAAATGGATCTAATGTGGATTCGCAATTCAAAAGGCATAAAATTACCGAGTTAGAACTTGAGAGCCATAGGTCCGTACTGAGCTACATCCTTCAGCGTTCGTCCGATCTCTGCGATCAACGATGTCCCGGTGCTGATGAACTTTTGTCGAAGATGTCGAAAGTGAAGACGCTATGGGAAAAGCTTGTCCAGGCGGCTGCGGACTTTAAACAAATATTGATTTTTGGCAGAGAGTTTGATTATTTTATTTCCAGCTGTGATGACGCTGAAACCTGGATAAAGGACAAACACGAAGCTTGTGACGCTCTCCTGAAAAAAGCTGTGAAGAGCGAAAGTCTCGGCATGACTGAGTCACTTCTGAGACGTCATCATGAAGTTATGCAAACTGTGGAGAATTTTTCCTCCACAATCGAACAACTAAGAATTCAGTGTATTGAACTGGTTGATTTCAGTTGCCAAAGTTCAGAAGATTTTCCAGAGTTCGATGAGCTGCAATCTATCTCGAGATCATCGAGTGGTATATCGCGACAAACACTAGAGTCCAGACTTGATCAGGTAACACGGCTGTATGAGCAACTTCTGCGTGTCATAAAAGAGACAGAAGGCGAAATTTGCGACGCCCTTTCACTCCATCAGTTATTCAGATTGGCGGGTACGGTATACAATTATCTTTTGGATAAAGAAGAATACCTTCGTGTTTCAATCTCACGCGACTTTGAGACCGTTGAAACATCTCAAATAATGAGTGAAGCCGACCGCTTGCAGAGGCTGGACGTAACAAAGCGCCGCTTCACAAATTTGGAGGTGCAACTCGGAGAAATCGCAGAGAAGGTAAGGCCTATGTCTGGTGGTCCCAGAGTTCTGACCTGGGTCGTAACTGAAGATATCGCGCTATGGTCTCAATGGTCACTACTTCAATTTTCTACGTTCCGATTTAATATATAATTTTTCCAGAGCGCTCAGCTTTACCATGCTTTCATTTCATCATGATGCTGAAATACACTCCATTCGTCCTCGAGATAACTCGGTGGTTAAAGGCGAACCTATTAACTGGAAAGACCGTGGTCCGAACCCCACCCCTGTATCTGGAATGCTCCTGTCTATGCTTCGGCAACTTTAGAGTATCTCAGTTCTCGTGTTTCCTTTGTGTGGCATAGCAGCTAGGCACAGGGACGATATTATAGCTAGGGGATCATATTATTCATTCTGTGCATACTGGCCAAACAGGCTTTCACATTTCAATTGAAGACCCGGTCATAATGACCGTTTCTTACAATTCCCCAAAGAGGTCTTAATGCAGCTATTTTAAGTGAGCGTTTGGCTTTCCAGCTCACTCTTGAATGATGGGGAAAAGGGCCGAGTTTTGTACGATCTGTCAAAATGGCGCCGGGATACATGTGAAGGCGTCGGTTCTATCGCTAAATACTTGCAGGCTTGAACGCCCGTACCAATTTTGAAGACCTCTAAAAGATCTGAAAACCCTTGTTTTCTATGGATGCTATCTGAGTTTGGCTTCAGTTTGCCAAATGGATCATCTCCTTGGGTTTGAGGGTCATTTAGTGCGGTCCATATTGGAATGCAAACTATTTCCTGGTCACACCTCACTGGATATTCCCGCTAAGCAGTAAAACATTGTCACGTGCGTTATGCTCCCTCGGGCTGCTCAAGTTACTGTAAAGCCGCCAAAGACTGTACAATTCCTAAACCTATTGAGGTAGCTGAGGAATTCACTGTTTAATTTATCTTTACTGAACAGTTAAGCGGCTATGGATCCATTTTTTCAGCTTGGCTCTTATATGTAAAATTATCCAACAGATTCAGAACTAATTTCCACATTTTTATCTGACGCGTTCAATTTGCGGTTAGGGTTTGATATTGGTGGCATATGTAGGGGATTCAAAGGCATGGGGGTCGTTGTCCGTGCCGCAGATGAACAGTCGATAAATATTATCTATGTCGAATTAAAGGGGCCAACTCCCCTCGCTATTGTTTTCAATGTAGGACGGACGATGGTGATAAAATTCAGCGAATGTGGCAACTGCGTTAGTGTGACCGCAAGATCCGCAGCACCTGAAAAACAATCATCGGTGTTTTTCCATAAACTTTAAATGATGTAACTTGGAGGTTAGGTCATGCAGATTAAGGAGACCGTGCAAGTGGTATCCCTCAACTTGACAAGTTTGTCGCTGTCACTGAATTCAAAGTTATCCATTGCTGACTTTTCACTCTACAAAGCCCGTATGCAAGCAAGAATCTTACTGGTGAGGCGTGACCGTTCCATTCTAAGAAAGACTAATGCCTAAGGCATATGGTGATGGCAAATCACTAAACACCTTCACAAGCGCGCTTTTGCTGTGCATATTATTCAAAAGAGAAACATCCTCCAGATACAGTATACATGTAGAAGCAGCAAACAACGTTCTCTCTGTTTTCGGTTTCTAATTGCAAGGGTCAATGAGCAAAACATGGATTTTGAACAGGCTGGCATTCTCCGTAAGGCCATCCAAAAACGCGAACGCAGTTACACTACCTAGTTCAGCATTTGCGCCTAACTACATGGAGAGTATCTCAGGGTATCTTCCAAAGAGTCGTTTCCTCGATAGTTTCTTTAGCTCAGAGCACAGCCCCCTTATACACCTTACTCATATAACTGGTGCGCAGGGTAGTCGCAATTTGTATGCCACAATTAGTTTATCGTCTTGTTCTGATTTGGCAGGTTTTGGTGTTTAAAATCATGGAGGGAGATATTCGGCAGGAGAAGCTTACTCAAACTCACAGTGACGATGTTTGTTCGATTTGTAAGTGAACATTTGCAATCCATACGCGAAGCAGGGCGAGCAGACCAACGACCAATAAACTACCAAGCATATACGTCTTACACCTGATCCCCGTTGTTCTGAACACTGGTTGTGCCACGTGGTGTTCAACGAACCCTTTTGAAGTGTTAAAGAACTCATCCTCCTCCCTTTATCTTCCGTTAGTTGTTCACCTTCTGATTATGTTTGCTAGCGTGTTGACGAAAATGGTGGAGTAACCTGTGAACCAAACTTATTTGCACATTTCTGCAACTGTATGTGCCTCACAAAGACGGTCTCATGTTTTATTTGGTATGAGTTTTGAGACATCACAATCCATTTCCTCAACGCCACGCACCAACGTTCTCCTGAAGACTTCGACAGTCCACTACAGGTAGTGCTTACCATGAAGCTCCTCAAAGTGGCATTGCCCAACGTTAAACCTTGAAGACCAAATATCCGCAATCGATGAAATAGACCCATTCGGAAACGAAATTGGTGTAACAGTAAAATCAACTGAGTCCATTGTATATGATATTCGTCAACATGTGGCCTCCTTTGGACGTTGGATTTAATGTCGATAAAGTAACTAAGTAATATCTTCCGTATTCCAACAGTTGTTTTACGAAGAAGTTTTGGGGCATTTTCCAATGCTATTTTACGTAACCTCTTGGTATAAAAGCTCTTCTCATTTTCCAACTAGTGCACATCTAGTCGTGATAATGAAATCTTAATTCTAAACTAACCGGTGGACTTTATGTAAGTCACTATGGAATCGCAGGCACCGTGCGTAGCCTGCCGGGTCCAGCACTAAGAATTTCTGTATTCGGGGAGAGGTAGTGATAAGGTACTTTTGACAGTTATATCTTGTGGTAATTTATCTGACTAGCATCGAACTATTTACGTTAAGTTTATGGCAGTTCATCTAGATGCACGGTGTTCTTGATTGCACCTTGACCGACTTACTTCCACTGTTATCTACAGCCTGGATATCACTATCTACGCAGGTTCACAGCCTTCGTTAGCATTACCTAACATTCGTTTTCATAAACTCACATTTCATTGCAGCCTCGTTCCATTCATCTCTATGGAACTACGAACTCGCCTGTTAGAGTTGAAGTTTGCGCATAATTCGGGCGGATTAATTAGTTCCAGTTGAGGGCTTTGGATAGCTCGGGTCCTTTGTTTAGGCAACCTGCTTCTCACATTTGATCGGTCACTTCCGTCATCAAATGGATGGGTACTAAATAAGACAAAAGTCAAGCTACTTTTATGACGGACGGACTAGGTAGAATGAAATCATCTCAGAGTACGCTGTTTTCACATTCGAAATGCGAAGACTTTGTGGTACTTAGAATTCTGAAGCTAAGTAGAGTCATGTCTGTGGTGGACAACATCCGAATGCCGGGTTACTTTCAACAGACAGAACCACATATACACAACCCCTCATACATTGGGGCTATTTTCCTTTCTGAATGAGAGTTGCGCTTCCGTTCCATCCCTACACCAGAATTTATGAAAATAAACTTATACCCAATCGGAATGTGAATGCTGCTCATTCTCCTGACTCAGAAAATTAAACAGGTGTCCAGGGTTAGCAGCACATTTCAGTCGGTAGTGAGCCAGCTGAACCCTTGTTAACATATGTCATTCTTGTCTTATTGGCTATCTGAACTTTGGTAGCTGTGTATGCTAACCCGTTTGTAGTCAGATTGGCCCAAATGAATGACTGCACTCATCGGTTTGCAGAGAATGCACTTCATGATTGGAGGCCGTACACGCGCACTATAGCTCAAAGGACGAATAAATGAGTTTTTCCAACGTCCGCCCTATCTCACACTACAATGTTTCCGTGTTGTCGAACAGAATGAACGTACCAACTACTGAGATATTTGCCACAGGGAATACGTCTTAGTTGCCTTCCATTCGCCTTTCCGTCTTAAGTTTTTACCACTTTCTTGAGTCATCCTTGTTTAGCCAAATGGAAAACCCCAATTCGTAGAACACTAACGGCATCCGTCTAAACTCCGGTGATCAGGGTGTCGCTCGCAGTTCCATCAATCCTAACGAAAACTAATGATAAAACTGCATAACTTTCAATGACTTTGTTCGCACTGTGGTGAAATATTTGCAACCCGGTTGCGTTCGCCGTCGCTATACATATTTGATTAGCACTACAGCTTGTCCGCGAACTACCATATTAGTGTCAGTCAGAGAGTTACAAAGAAGTGGCTGTTCATGGAGAAACGTTCACTTCTAACTGGGACAGGGATGTTACGGAGTTCGATCACCATGTGTTCAGGTATTGGCTTAACACACATCACCACACGGCCGTTGACTTTACTCTGCCTCTAGCGTGGAACAACACTCAAAACGTTGCGGACACCTTCGAACCAGAAGAATTCATCTAAGGTCCAACACCCAAAACCCGGAGGCCATTGCTCGTCGAGTGTAATAAGACGCCAGGACAGGAGTCATAACATTTCAGAGGATGTGATACTAGCCAGTGAGTATGAATCACGTTAAAATTTGAAGTTACCGAATGAAAATTGTTGAATAATGGTTCAGTAATGAAGAAAGTAAATTTGGATACATTTTTAGCGTACGGATGAGGTGCAAAAGCTCGCTTGCGTACAGGTATGCGTTTTAAAGACGGGCGCCACACAATTAAACGATTTTGCGCTGGTCGTTCTTGCGGAAACAGAAATCGTTGTGCTTTAAAATTGAAGCAGCCATCGTGGCATATATTTTCTCAAGATGTAGTTGGGATGACCGTAGCAAAGTGGCATAGGTAGGCTTAACTTTGGCAACTATGGTGTTTTCCCCATGTACGCTGGTAGTTACGGTTTATTTCGATGGCTCATCCACATATGCTTACTCAGTATTTATTCACATTCTGATTTTGTCTCGTTGGTTAATGCTGGAAGTGTTTGCCATATATTCGCGTTGTGCATCCGTTAGGTCGTTCTTGCTTGGTCTTTCTGACTCAGGGATGCGATTCTTCATTTACGCACTACAGCTTATGCTTGAATTTTTCCCACGGTCAAATTGTATTTTTTCCTAGTTGCCACTGATTCATTGAAGTTTGCATAATTTTTATAATTTCACAAGGTTGCTCATATTAATCAAGTGGCCAACGATTTCCTGGAGGGTCCGAAAGGTGGCGAGTTTTCGTTGAGGGACGGTGTGAATAATGTGAATCGGATCCTAAACATGCAGAATCATTTGAATGCTAGATGGAACCGACTGGCAGACGCGATGGACGAAGCTCGAGACCGACTCAACCAAGACTCTCTGCAATCGGATCTTGTTGCCGAATGTCAGTTCACGTTAGATTGGATCACCGACAAAGAGCACCAGTTGTCAGAATTTGCTGCGTTGAGCCCACAGAATGGGGAAGAAATGTTGTATGTTCAGAGCCTTTTAAGGAATCTGCAGAATGACATGACGGCGATCGAAGCACGCATCGAGGATATCGATTCGCGTATACAAAAGTTGATGCATCGGAAACATCGTACTGACTCCGTTGGTACAAGTGACTCCGAAACGCGTTCCCAATACCAATCGATGACTGCCCTTCTCACTCAATATTCCCAAGTGACACAACGATGGATAAATCTGAAAGCTTCGGTCAAATCAAAATTAGATGAGCTTGCCGCAGATGGTCGCTCGCCAGATTTCCTGGAACGATTAGATAAGTTTCAAGCCTGGTTGGACGAATTGAAGATACATTTATTGTGTGGGGAATTCCCTAATGACCTTCAGGTGAGTGACTTATCTTATCGCACAACTATCTGAATGGTGATATCCTTTTCCCATTGAGCTAACAATAACTCCAAACCTCTGTGAAACGACGACTACTCAGTCGGTCCCAAATATCTTCCAATTTCTAGCCTTGTTTGGTTGTGACTGGTAAATTCATCCGATTGTCAGTTTCTCACGCGATGCTGGCGTATGGCTGCACACTACTGATTGTTGCCCATTAGGCTCAGGTCATCCAGCCAGTCATTCCAGACGCCTTTTGAGACGGAGATTACTGTTAAATAGGCTTAGAATTTACAATTCACGTGATTGCTTATCACTTTTGATCACGCCATTGTCTGCTTTTGAACACAGCTCCAAACAGCGAGGACTTGGCAAACCAATCAAATCCCCTCCGATCTGATGATCGTTTTTGACCCTTTCGTTGAGATGAGGTTGCGAAATCACACAAACAAGGTGAACAAAATCTCCTTCTACAATCGTTGAAGAAAGAGTGGATGAATGGACATCTTGCTAAATTTCTCAATGAGCTAGCCTACAAACCTCTTACATCAAACTACTTGTGAGGCAGTTGGGAACTCTTCAACAGACATTTACCAGTTTGGGTGCCTTCATTTTTTTCAGGTTGACAAACTCCCCGATTTTCGAGCAAACCTATTTCATTTATGAACTCCAGATTGAGCATGTATGGAGTTAGACTTTTTTCGTACGAAAGTTAGACTTACGTGAGACTCAGTTACACCTATCGTTTATGGTTTTCTGGTGTAGCCTTTCCATCTCGGGTGCCTTATGATAAATGTGTCTACCTTTACCAGGTTACAGAACCAATACACTTCGTAAGTGCGGCCCCATATTGCAGTACATCAGATCTAATCAGTTGGGACTTCACCATTCGCATACGATTTTGGGCGGATAATCAACGAGTTTAACAAATGGGTTTCCTGTGGGGAATCATACATTCACCTTGGTTACTTATCTGTCCATTAAAACCCATGAACGAGGCACAGACTCATGGTGAGGCAACCCAAGCCAATATGCATTCGATATTCTATTTCGCCTAGTATCTTGTGCAGCGACCCGTCGGCGCCCGTGACCATTGTCTCAAATGTCATATCAACAGAGAAGCATACACTTAACCTTATCTTCGTCATCGGACTTCATGGTTTTTCAGATCAGCGATAGTTTTTAATTTTGATGCCGCCGATGAAGATCTTAGATTGGGAGTTGGAATTCACCGTATTTTACTGCGTGACAGAAAAAGTTGGTTATCTGAGTCAGCTTTCAGGGTCTTCTAAAGAATATATCACAGAATACACCCGGAGGAAAACAAGTTATTCGACTCATTGATGATGTTTTTTGTGGTAGTCAGTAACGCAAGCGCTGTCCTCTGTTTAATCTTCCTTCTCCAACAGCACTTGACATTATCAGACCTCGGTTAGACCTGGAACCAAGCATGTCGACCAGACAACATTTAGGACTGCACATCGGGTTTCTAAATCTACATATCCTAATAGACCTTGTATGCAGTCTTACCTCACGTTTCCCTCGTTCTTAGCTGTTCATCGTCACTGCATTCCGTGGTCGAAAGCTGAACACTATTTTTCGGCGTTTGAGAATCGCTACTGATTTCGAAATCTTTCGCAGGAATATTGAACTCAGTTTGAAGGGCGTGGAGGTCAGCAGTTTGAGTATTGTTAAATTAGACCCTCATATATGTCCTCCAATTCTTCCGTCACAATGTTAGTTCTAGTGCACTTGCGGAAAACGTGCCCCTCCAGGTCATCTACCGTAAAAATTCTCGGCTATAAATTCCAAGAAGTTGCTTTTAGAACAAGGTTGCTCTTCAAATTTGATAGAATAATCTGTTATTCACCTTATATCACACAGACCATTCTCAAGCTAGCGGTCGGTAATCCAGCTCTTTTTGAATTATTTTGCTATGAATTCGCAATGCGTTACTAGTATGTTTGGTCGATGCATCATTGAGGCACTATAGTGTGCGCGTTGTTTATTTTGAGCGTCTTCTTTTCCTCTCATCAAGGACACAGAACGTGGCTTGTTAGCACAAGAAAGATACCTGCGCGAAGTGGATGATAATGAATTAGAGCTTAAGGATCTTTTACGAACCGGATACAAACTGGCCAGGGAACAATACGATCCATCTCACTTGCAGTTGGAGCAACGACTGGCTGATATGGAGGACGAATGGAAGGCAGTCAAGGAGGCTCTTTTGGAACGAGGAGTGCTGTTACGCAAGCGGTATTCTCAACAGGTTTGTTGGCTGTCTGAGTTCAACCGGTTAGATTCCAAGTTTTAGTTAGCTGGTTTCTCGGATTCGCTTTTTGCTTCCCGTCAAGAAAACAATAACCAGGGTTATAAATGAGAACCTGTTGTGCATGTAAAGTTGGTCTATCTTTAACGGAGGTAAATTACGTTGCACTTGTTTTATCCCTGTTTGGAATCAACAGTTACGTTTCCGTCGGTGGCTTAATACTAACATCCAGTCACCTGCGGCTCACCACCATTGTGAAGAGTTTGAACATAGTGCTCAGCTATTAACCGGTAAGACACAGCTGCTTGCCAACGGGGATGAGACAGCGGTGCAGTGCTACTGGGTTTTTCAGCATAAACTCGCATCGTTTGGATGGCAAAATCCCAACCGAATGTTTAACATCCAGTCACAATTTATGCAGAGTGTTCTCTCCCGCCGGGGTCAAGACAGACAGCTGAAAGGGTGCTTCTGCTTTATAGTGTTAAGCAGGCTATTGGTTTTTATAGTTCCAATGGAGATTAGTCTAGGAACATAGGTATAATCCACCCAACAAGGACAATTTTTTTTAGTAATTTCGTGTAGTTGGTAGTACTCACTTGGAGCCATTTCCAGATACCACTCTCTTCAGGAAATGGGATTGGCAAAATCCATCCGTTAACCACGGACTTCACTTTCTGGCTAGACATGCCAGCTTAGAAAACTACCTATCCACCTCAATCTTTTTTATGAAAAATTCCAGGTAACTCTTTCTAAAAATATCCAGATCTCGACTATTTATTTTATGGAGTAAAAGCGATGCATCATCCGTTAGTCCTGGTCTTTCTCACCTGTGAAAAACGTTGCTGAAACCGTCATACTTTTTCCTGCGCTCACCCTAACTTTTACTTTTAACAGTTGGATATAAATGGAAAACAGTCACTCCAAGGTGTTGGTGGTAGAACTCGGGTGCCTAGTTGAAACGGGAAGTCGGTTTATGGGGGACCAATTCCAAGGTGACCTTCCAGATTATCCTGTACAAAGTAGGAAACGCGGCATAAACTCTACAAAGCGTAGTTTACCTTTTAATCAGTGTTTGCGCAGAGAGTGGCTCAACTGGTCCATCGTTTGCAATTATACAATCTGAGCTAGCAGGTCTCTCGATTCCCCTGCTACACTCCCTGCAACTAGAATAAGGTCTTGGATTTTTCGAATACGGCATTATTAGAAACTTGTCCTGCTCCCTTCCAGTTTATGGTAGTTTGGTTGCCTTGGGAACACAAAGGTTTTCACGTTATCTTGTTGGTTAGTGTATAATACTGTTCCCCTAAATGTAGAAAGGTCACTGTCCATTAAGAAAGAATTTCGCTGGCGTACAAACCGTTCCTTATTCTCCTATCTATCGAGTATATGGAGTAGCTAATGTTTTCTTAACAGACGAATTCCCCTGCAACTTTAGACAGGGAAGTGTTGAATCAGAGAAATAAAAACGAAAGGGCAACTGTTGCAGCAGTAGATTAGCATGTGTGTACCATCAGAAATGGTAAACGAACAATGTGTGCAGATGGTGAATGGGTAAAGAACTGACTTGACTTGGAGCGATATTAGAACTTTGGCTGTACGTATACAAATGAAATACGGTGCTTTCAGATTGTACAGTAAAGCAGTGAGCTCACAGACATCTTCGCCTGCAGTTGAATTTGATTCCTTTTCAGTAATTCAGGTAGGGATGTTAAAGCAAGTTAAGACGAAAAATGTATCACTTGTGATCTGCGGTGACTGAATGGTTGTTTTGGTTGAAATCACCCGGTAGCCAACCGAGTAGTGATCTGGCAGCACGTTGCCATTTGACCTACCAAGAATTGCATGCTCTCCACACATGTGAGGTTGATAGACTCATTGGTTGGGTTTCTCTGCTGACTCGGTAATTAGATACAGCCTGCTCCGTTTAATTTGGGGCTTCCTATGCGAATCACTGATGATAACTGGACATCAAGCCTGATAGGACACATCAGTCATAGGATCGCTGAAAACTCTTCGATATCCCACGGCCAGTTTCGCCGTTCTTGAGAATCATAGGATAGGTGTACTCTCACATTCTCCTTCAATGCGAAGTTGTACACAAATGACAAAGTACACTCATCTGGAAGGCAAGTTGGTGTCAACGACACGCTTGAATGAATCCCAGCTGAAGAATATCATAAACGAATTATTCGGCTGCGATTCTGTTTAGCCTCCTGTCAACCTACTTTGCAGTTAAGCGCATTTTGCAAATGAGATGTCAAGCCAATTAAGCTTACTGGGTACTTTCATTGCCACAGCAAACTGAGACTGCGTGTACATACAGTGTATATACTGGGTATACGGTGGTCTCAGAAAGTTCGTTAATCCCTTGAAGAGACTATCTATAGGAACAACTTCATAATATCTGGGTTCCACTCGACCATTGCTTTCACAAATATTCAAGATGCAACTTGAAGTCTGACTGCTAATGGGCAAAATACCTGAATTACTGGAGCTGCAAATGACTCAGCGTTAAACAGCATATTCCGAGAGAAACAAACGATATTATGATGTCTTCAAAAGGTGTGGCAATTCCCAATTGTATTGACGTTTCTATACGAATTCGATGTTCTGACTGAAACCTGTTCTCTTCTGTGTAGCCTAGAATATGGGTATTCGTTAGATATGGTCTACTCTAGTCGTTTGCTTTGCATCTCTCACTCGATTGACGTATAAGAGACCAATAACCAAAGCAAGTTGCGTTAAAACAATGGGGGCAAAGCATTAAGGAAAGTACACAACCTCAAAAATGTTGACAAGCAAGCTGAATACGAAAGTGCTCTTTCGAGCCTAACTGTCTGACAACTGACTGGAAGAATTGCGTTTCGGCACATGGTCATTGTGTTGCATTGGATAACAGTGCTTGTGTGCCATTGTTATAGGGAATGTGACTGTTAGTGAGGACTTGAAATTCCGTCCTCAACTTTCTTTAGTCGGGCGCTGTTCGTTCCTTCTTGAAACCAGTCATTAACAGTAGTTGAAGCTTTTACAATTCCGATCAAATTTGGTATGCATTTCTTACGGTGTAGCGTAGTTGTCCGAAGCTGACTATTGGATTTCTGTTCGGAATTTAAGATATCTGTCTGTAGGTAGGTTATGCTAACCAATGAACGTCTTTTACGTTCACTACCCACATCCTGCTCTGTTGCTCACTGAAGGCAGCCCCTTGCAGATAATGAGATGAGGCTGAAGACAGCTGCAGTTGTCCCTTCCACTAACTTCTCCTTATGTGATTGCCATCTTCCTGTCCTGTGCTTCTATCGTAGCTTACCCTTCATCTTAAATGTGATTAACTAGCCAGCGGGCTCGCTGTTTGCTTTTTGGACGCCAAAGGTCAATCAACCTCTGTAATACAGTAGACACGTCTTATTCATCACAAATAGGGGACATGGATGTAGGTACACAAGGGCAGCCAACGAACCTTTGCACTTTTTCACGTAAGTCAGTGAATACAATACTTTATCCCCGATACGATTTCGCAAACACAACCATAGTCGGTGTTACTGGATACACAACAGAGGACCCAGAGAAACTACGTATCAAAGAGTGGATTTCAACTGGACCGATCTCAAAAGAGAGAGAGCAATGCATTTTGATCTCACCATTGGAGTCGGTTGTTTTACTCTAGGATTCGCTGGAAGTACGATATTTTACGCTCTCTTTCAAACATTGTCTGCTCTAGTTTAACAATTCTGCCTCTCAACTGTCTCCATGCCGTTCGACAGCTAGCAATGCATGTTTCATTATTTTTATTATATCAGGAAAATAATAAGATCATTTGTAAACTTGTTGACAAGAGAGAGTGGTTCATCACTGCACGGCTGTAGTGCATTTGAAGATTTTGTTGTGTAAAATGGAATGAAGCTGGAGAAGGAAGGGACCTAGTTTTAGCCTACTACAAACACTTGCGGACTCTTGTGCACACTATCCCGGATAGAAACAGGTGACAAGAATGTCATTGACATCGCTTGATAGCCGTATGTCGCATCGTCTTCAGCCACGTACAGGGAAGGTCATGCGGATCCTATCTTTGAAGGCGGATGGCACCGGCATTGATTAGACCTTTTGTTATAGTTTCCGTACCCTTACTCCCCGTTTTATTTATACAATTCTGTTTGCGGCATCTTGATTTGAGTCCGGAAAGCAATACCTTTTGTGGACGATGAATCACCATGCGCAATACATGATCAACCGTAAACTAAAGCGCTTGCAAATTCTTCAAGTGAAACTTATTCTGCACACTTGACCGCTCGCTGATACCCTATGCCGTTTTCCCCTAAGGGAGTAGCAGATGCCTGAGAAACTCTGCGATTCAGTCCATCGGCTATTTAAACATCAGCCTGGGACTGTTGATGGGCTGTGTGTATTGAAGGTTTTGAGAAGGCATGTTATTTGAAGGTAACTTTTCTCTTTGTTTGATCCGCCTCTCCAATATGGCCATATTCGCTTTTTTGTGTTGTTGTAAGGAGAGTATAGTGTAGTCCATTTGGAGCCATTTATCTTTGATGTAAATGTGACCCAGTACAGGGGTTGCAGTTTGATCCTATTCAGACCGATTTTTAGACATATGCGCCGATCCACTCCAAAGATACCGAATGTATCTTTCTTTCTTTACAGTATTTTTTCGGGGAAGCCTCACTTTTGGATGTCATCCTCAATCAACAAATGGCCTTTCTTTCAAAACTAGAGATCCCAGTGAGTTTTACTTTGGTGTCTGTCGTCTAATTGTGTGTTATTCTGTCTGATCTATCCTCATCCTTCCTTATTTGCTACTGGAAATATTCACTTGGGCGAGATGGCCCAAGTGGTTAGAGCGCGAATTTACTGACTGGAAGGTCCGTGGTTCGAATCCGACCGCCTCTCAACTTTCCCTGTCTAGGCTTGGGCAACGTGGCAGTATCCCAGCCCTCGTGCTTCCTTCGGGTGGTATGGCAGCTAGGCACCGGAAGAGTGCTACGCTTCTTTCTTTCACATATTCACTTGGCTCTACAGTACGCTAGCATGAAAGCTGCACAACTTCCGCAGGACCTTTCACATTTTATTTACCTCGATTTTGAGGTCGGGGCGATACTTTTTGTTAGAATATACTCCCCGGGGCCAAGGATGACCACCCATCTGTTCGTTCCGTATTACTTGTTTATTTACCAAAAATGAATAGATCTAGTGAGGGAGCTCCAGCTAGCCAGTTAGTGATTAAAAAGATGCCATTTTCGTGCATATTTACTCGCCATTGTCTCAATAGCGTACGCATCTACCAGGGCGCTGATAGTAGTTCAACACCTGTCTCATGTATTCTCCACGACATTTTACTTAGACATGACACACGATGCAGATAGTGTGACGGATATGCCAATTCTACTGAGAGCGAGAAGTGAAACTGTGTTTATTACAACCCATCCTGCTCCAATGTAAGCAACTCCCACTAAACTGACTATAGCCTTTTCTACCGGCGTTGAACATCGTGCAACCCGTGGGATATAAAAGCATTGAGCTCTTGCCATTTCGGTTGGTAACTGCACATACGTGGATGGTAGACACACCTTTCGAAAAACCTTTTGAGACCTTTATGAGAGGTAGTTGTTTTCTGTCAGTCATTGAGAAATCTGAGGCCTGAGAAAAGGTGTGTCGGGTTTTGTTCCATATGACATTGTTCAGACATTCTTCACGGGGCATCTGATCCACAAACTGAGACTTCTAAAATTTCAGAATTTCAGATTTGCTCATTTAGTTGTTATTGTTTTTGTTTGATTCTCAAGAATTCTTTTTGACTGAACTTTTCCCTCTGCTTTTTACTTGGACTCCTGATTGTGTTTGCTAAAAATCACAGAGTGAATTTCGGTCTACTGAATTATGTGAGCTCTAATTAGCTCACACACTGTAGTGTGGCCATTCCTTGTCAACTGTGTACAGGCTAAGGCAGTGTACTCGATGGTATTGCCACGGTCTCCAGCCTAAGCTTTGGTAATGCCGCAGGGCATAGAGAGCTTCGCTTTCTTATTCTCTTGTGTGTGTTTGGTAAGCAATCCTTTGCTTTTTGTCTGTCAACATCACACCGACTAATTGCACTCCACATTCCCCTCAACTACGACAACCGCTGCCTTCCATTTTGGTCTCAGTTACATGGATGTCTGAGGGTGTTGTCACGGCAACTGTCTGTGATTTGACACGCAAATGCAACAACTATTGTTATTCTCTGATATGCTAACATTTTGTGAGTAATTGCGTGCATGTGCTGGCTTCTGGTTATTTGTTGAGCATCTGGCTCCATTCCGACAATTGTTTGTGTTCAAAGCCGACTTAATTGGACAGAACGTACTTCAACCAAGGTGTGAACATTTGGTGCTCCAAGAGATACCCCGTACGACCTCACTTGCTCTTGCTTCAACACTCGCATATTTATCGTGAATAAAATGGAGCAATTTGTTGATAACCGCATAAAGTTTTCAGTTGTTTTAATTTATCGAGTAGCGGTGGTGGAGTAGTGTGCTTTGTATGCAGCATATCAGAAGCCACAACTGAGAGGAACCCCTCCATTCGCTGAACTTGGCATATCTGAAATGTCATTGACGTTGTATACTTCACAATCCTCTTAACCTAGCCACCAAACATCACTTCTAAATGTAACTGAGTTGTCTTGAACAAAGCTGAAGAACGCCTGATCTTTTGCAACCTTTTCTGGTTTACAAGCAATACAGCTCCGTTTTCTATCCTGGTACAGTTCCCTACCGCAAATAATTGAGTTTAACATTGAAAACGTCGGGATATCTTGCTACTATAATTAAGTTCCCTCTAGATAACGCATTGTAACTCATGAAGTTCCTGCTTCCACGTCTGCAGTGAACCCATTCTCAAGTTCCCCAACCCTCGGCAACTGTGACCAAACAGTATACCAATGCCTCAGACTCACCGCAAATCTTCTACAGTGTAGAACTCACGAGTTCATTATTACATGGAATTTTCTTTGTTTGAATCTCCATGAAACTCGTGAAATTGAATACCCTCCGCTGAGGGTCCCCTATATGGATGGAGTAGCTGCATGGTGCCTTCCATTTATTATGCGTAGGTTGAATTTCTCTCAAGTTCTCAAAACCACATTTGAAACCTAAAGTCATGCTCATTGTCCTCAAAATGTTAGTAGCATGTTCTGCAAGGAAAACTCCACGAGATCAATCGGTCCTTCTTTTAAGTTAGCCTCACTCGGGAAGCCTGTCAAGATTAAGAATCCATGGGATTGAAAAGTGTGTGGTGCTGTTTCTTGTCCAAGCTTATCAAAATGTAAACCGTTCGAATTCAACTCAGACGATTGTGGATCCGAAACTCTTTCAACACACGTGAGAGGTACCTTGTTAGTAGTTCCGAGGTATTCAGTATAGGTTGCCCTTTCCTCGCAGGACTGACCTCAAACGAAGCCCTGAGGAGTTAGTCTACGGTCTTCATGAAAGCAAGAAATCGAACAAATTCCTCTTGAATCTTTTTTTCACTGCGGTTAATTGTATGAATCACAATGGGAATGATTAATCCCCTCAACTGAGGAACGAGATATTTGTCCAACTTGTGGTAATACTTTAATTCCAACTCGTCTCTCAACAGTCATTCGTGTAAATGCTGTCAAATTCTCTCTTACTATCAGGCGCTTTGTTTCATACACATTTATCTGAAACATAGGCTGAGCATAAGCTCTCATTCAATCAGCGTTGTTCTCTCTCCTTTTCGGAGAGGGGGGTGGGCTAAGCGAAATTAAATATTATAAAGTGTATCCTTTGAATTTATTCCAGACCACCCTTGATGCTGTTCATGACGTCCAGAGACAACACGAAGCATTTTGTTCTTCAATGAGCACCTGTGGACGACGAATCGAAAATGTACTCGAATTCGGAAGAAAAGTTGCTCAGGAAGATTCTGCGAATCGTGATCGGATACTATCCGAGTGTAACTCAATTGAAAACAAGTAAGCTCATTTTTCCCATTTCCGACATTGCAGCAACTGAATTCTCCAAACCTTTTTCTTCTATCACTCCCTGTTTATCTTTCTACCGTCCTTCCTCCCTAACAAAATGCTGGGATCCTACTTCTCATAAGTTTACAAATCCTCAACAAAACCACTAACCATAGTATGGCCTTTTAAAGGTAAAGTGCTCATTTTCTGATGTCCCAAATAGCCGAAAATTAGTGGGCTGGAAAGGCAGGCTACAATCAAAGATTTATAATTCTTGTTAAAAGTGCTGTTCGCATTTTCACTTTTGGGCATCGGTCGATTCAAAATCTTGTTCACCTGATTCAGGTAACATTTACGCCCTGTTGACAGTTACCAAGGTCTCATGCAATATCCCCTATTAAAATGTTCGTGAGATATTTCGCCACTGTGTAGCCCAAGCAATTCTTCTTGGTGCACAGTATCCCCAACCGTATTATTAAGGAGAAGCCTTTGGTAGTCCGCTACCTGACTAGCCAAAGAACAATCACCGCCGCCAGTCAGCGTTCGGGGTTTTTGTCAAACGCGAACATCCCGTCAAGGCTACGCGTCTGTGCTCTCACATAGAAAGCTTGGCTCGGCTGTAAGCACCGAATTTGAATGAATGATAATGAGTAAAAATGGTCAATAGTTTGGTGCACCAGTCAAGTGGCAATAGAACACATTACAAGACGCTCAGATGCTCTATGTGTCGAGTTTTCCCACTTGACCAGCCAATCATTGTACGCATTCTCACGTTCTTCTGACTGACATCACGCTACCCTTCAGATCAGTTGTCCTTCGTTTTGCTGATGACCCAAGATAGGGGGGGGGGCGGCGATGGGGGAGATGACCCGAGTGGTTAGAGGGCGAATTTACTGACCGGAAGGTCCGTGGTTCAAACCCGACCTCTGCCTCTCGACTGCCCCTGTCTAGACTTGGGCAACCTAGCAGTGTCCCAGCCCTCGTGCTTCTTTTGGGCAGTTAGCCACCGAAAGGGTGTTACAGTTGAACGATTTGCTTCCTCCCGGCTAGCTCAGGATAATGAAACAACACACACCATAATGGCATAAAGTAGTAATCCCAACCTTCTGCATTCCGAAACTTCTGTGTCCTCGGACATCAGGGAATTGGTCGGGTTCCTTTCTATGCGCTTTTGGCCGGAAGATAGTGATTACCGCTCACAACTGATCATAGTCTCTAATTCGCCCTGAGGTCGTGAACCTAAGTAGTTGAGTTTTTGTTAGTCTCACATATGAAAGACGTTCGTCTTCCTTCGATTCTACTAACTACAGGAGCCAGAACCTGCGTGCTTTTTAGGGAGTTATAAAAACGTGTCGAACAGTCCAACAAAGCGGGTCACACAGGTACCCTTGAGTGACCAAAGCAGTTTAATGAGTTGGTGGAGCGTGAAGTGTTCTGTGTCAAGTTTGCCAAGATGTCCGATCATCATTGGTAGTTGCTTTGATTGCGTCCAATTTTTAGTAAGCAGCCGGGAGGATGCATTTGGCCTTGAAATAGGTCAGTAGGGAGCGCAGTGAGTTGTCATGAGACCTGAATTTCCCTTTCCAAAAGGGATATAAATCTTTGCTGTCGAACAATCATAGGAGGAACCTGGACTCTTCCGCAGGTGATAATGTTCTGTATGTGGAATGTGCTTTCACTCAGGTGACGGGTTTACTACGTTGAACCTCGATTTTTCAATCACATCTGTGACCAGCCTTTGGTTGAAGAGCGCATCATTTGTTATCTGCAATCATCATCAAAATGTGATGCATGTGCCAACGCTACGGCACACTACCCTGCAATCTTGACACAAACCACAGTTTCACTGCATTGGCCATTTCACTGTGCCTATGAATGGAGGTGTGGCTCCGCGACAACACTAAATTTTTTTGCCATATCCTGATGCATCGCCAGATAGCAACTAATGAGGAGCTGAAATACTACACCGCTCGGCGACGGGGCCTAGTAGCCGCACAGTAAAACCTTTTGTGCTAACATGTTGCATTTTGTTGCGTATGTGCCCAAACCAAAAACCATCCTATAATCTACATTAATATTTTTGCAGCTCAGTAAATTTCCTTGTCCACTGAAGCAATCAAAACTATGGCAGAAAAGTCCGGTGGAATAATTTTCCAGCACCGCCGAGACCCCGGAATGCCTAAATGGGGCTCAACAGTCTGGACTGGTACTCTGAACTTAATTGCTCGATTGCTTTAGTCCATCAGGGACACGTCATAGCTTTCGAAAATTCAATTCCATTGTGCGAATACAAAGCAGCCTCGGCAACCCTGCTTGTAGAAACGAGCCCATAGGTCCGGTATTAAGCAACAAGGTCATCTGCCTTTTGTTTGGACTATCTTATCTTGTCTTTCGAACACGCTTGCAGATTACCGAAAAGCAGGCATGCAACAGTGACAGGTCTCAAAGCAACATGAGTGAATTCAATATCAAAATGGGGAACTGGTGGATACACTCCAGAAATGTGTTGGTTGAAGCTCTTCTGGTAATTGAACACCAAGTTTTCCCACTCGTACTTCCAAGTGATGCATTAGTCTGTTCACTGCCACCCCTCTTGCGCTTGGATAGCGTTCAAGCGCGTTGCAACGAAGTCACTGTTACACAGCTGGTGGGATTGACGGAGTCCTTTAATCTCGATGCATTCTCATTTCAACACCGGCCGAATCTCTCCCTACATTCCAGCGATTTACATGAAAACCCACAGCGGCCCTGAATTTCTGCTGTTGCGTTCAATTCGTGGCTCTCTCACATCCTGCCATGTCGGACAAACAGAGCGATTCAGCCCAGATGAACTTTTTGGGTCGTCACCCTCAGTGCGTGACTGTCATTCGCTTATTCTCCTTATCCTTGTTGAGTGAGTGCATCATAGTTTGGTGCATAGTTTGCAGCTAAATAAATAGACTGAAATTAATTGAGTCCTCAGAACAGCCTTAACGTCTGGAAAATTCTAGAAGCCACAAAAAACGTGTAATAATGCCGTTGTTCTTGGTCAACTTTTAAATCCTTGGGACATGGGTTTGTTGGAGGTCAAGCGCATGACTGTAACGAAGAGTAGGCATGGGCGGTTGCCTCCTTGCTAGGGTGGAAGTTTGTATTTCGAGCCTAGTCTTAGGTGCATTTTCCGACCATAGGCATCACTACAACTTCTCAATTCAAAATCTGCTAGATTTTCGTGGTTACAGACGTCTGGCCAACCAAACACAACCCCAGTTTGATCAGGCTTTCAGGCGTGATAAATCAGGCGCCTGATGAGGTAGTGGCATTACGCCTGTCTTGCGCGCCAGATATTCGGATTTTCAACCCCTGAAAATTTCTAATAGGAGTGGAACTGCGGCACAGTACTTCTCATTTTCGTGGAGGCTAATCAGGGTAATAACGCCAGGATAGATGGAGGGTTGTTTTACCGAGAATGATTTGGTTGTAAGTCTCGTGAAGACTGCGTTAGGTAACGAATGTTGAACACTGCATTGTCCTAGGTGGATTAGGACCAGTGAAAATCCGGAAGAACCGATACACCAAATGGCGTTTTGCATTCAGTGCAACAGTGTATGGACACCATCCCCAGGATTACCAAACGGAGACAGCAAACCATCTACCAATTATCCTATTCGAGTTATGAACATCCGAATTGTGAAAACCGGACTAGTTACTCACATTATATGATATTAGCTAAATAAACGACACTGTCAAGCTGCGAGAAGAACGATATGATAGTGTATGTGTTTCATGGCTTTTTGAGTTGTTGGGCGAACTTTATCCGGGAACAAAGGCTCTGATCATCTGAGATAAATTTTCAAGCCTTCGTAGTCCGATTAGTCAAGCGAAACGGTAATCTGATCTTAGTTGCTCAGTGAGACCGGTTGTGGGAACGACTATACTGTATGGTTGAGCTGGGCGTGTATTCACTCATTCTCCCATACCGATATTGTGAAACCCAGTTTTGTCGCAAAACCTACAGCTGTTGAAAGCTTGATACTGACTGGTAGCCTTGGGTCTCCTGTATTCAATTTATAAAGTAGAAGAGAATTACCTGCTGCAGCCCCTTGGCTTCACATGTCTCTTACAATCTGAATATAGCGCGCGCACACACAGTCTTTAAGCTGTTTCAGGACCATTATACATAGAAGTAGCACAGCCCTTATTCCACCAAGCAATGTTTTCTGGGCATCCGTGATATCTCGGCGGAATCATTTTTTGTGGAGGGTGTGATTCAAAAAATCCGCCATACATTCATGGACAGCGGAGGCGAGGTTTCAGCTGTATCCGGGTAGTTTAGGCAAGTTCTGTAAGTGCGTGATTTTAGTTCGTTATGTATAGAGTGAACGACTCGAGCTTTTAACACTACTGTGCCTCGCTGGCTGGTACAAATCATTCAGTCGGGATTTCATTCTGTAAGTGAAATCAGTCTATGCCCAAATGCCAAGGAGCACTGCGAAGCTGTTTACTGCCTTTTGGGAATCAACATCGCATTAGTGTGTCGTAGGTAACCTGCGCGGAAGTTGTCAACGCCCGTCTTTTATGGAATTTCGAACCAGTACCTCTTTCACTATTTAGCTGATCTCAGATATTAATCAAAAAATAATTTGCCACAAGATGTACGACAGTTTTAAATGGACGCCGCATATTTTGCGTTCTCACCAAATATCCAATCATTGTGCGCTCTATCACTCCGTGCACCAGTATCGTTATAACGTCGATGGATAATTTTGTGAGTGTATTCCAGGAGAAATTTCCGACTAACCAAATGAAGCCAAGTCTAGTGGAACCTGTCGAGAAATAAATAAATAAATGAATCGTTCAGCAGTAGCACCCTTTTGGTGGCTAGCTGCCATGCTACCCGAAGGAAGCACAAGGGCTGGGATACTGCAAGGTTGCTCATGTTTATACAGGGGAAATCGAGAGACAGAGGTCGGGTTCGAACCACGGACCTTCCGGTCAGTAAATTCGCGCTCTAACCACTGAGGCATCTCGTC